CCTAAACGCACGTAGCGTTGTGGCGTGTTTATATGCATCAAGCTTCTTTTTTTTTTTTTTTTTTTTTTTTTTTTGCCAAAACTCTGCTTCCGGACACACTGGCAGTGGTTTTTTTTTTTTTTTTTTTTTTTCTGTCTCTAAGGCTAGACATACACTATACAATTTTTTTCTGCCCAATTTCCTTTAGATTTACCTTCAACCCCGTAGTGCAAGAACTTGCCTAATTGGATACAATTGAAAGTGTTGTTAGCTTTGACCTCCTATTATATGGTTTTTGGTAAATCTAAACCAAAAATCTCAAGAAAATTATATAATATATGGCCAGCCTAAATGCATGGATGGACATAAAGGCTAATGCAGGCCATAGATAGGGAGAAAACCGGCCGATTTTTCTTTAAAAAAAATGAAAAATCGGTCGTTCAAGCGGCCGACGTTACCAGGAATGGTAAAAAAAATCGGCCAATTTTCCTCCCTTCTACAGCCGGCAAAAAGTGTCCCTGCAGAGAGCTCCGCTATTTCCTTGACAGTTCTTTGACATTTATAGCGGTTGCAACAATGTATCTATTTGTATCCATTTAGGATACAGATGTTTTTATTCGGAAACAAATAGATACATTGTTGCAACCGCTATAAATGTCAAGGAACTGTCAAAGAAATAGCGGAGCTCTCTGCAGGGACACTTTTTGCCGGACTGGAATTCTTCCTCTTCTTCCTCTTCTTCCTCTTCTTCCTCTTCTTCCTCTCTTCTTCCTCTCTTCTTCCTCTTCTTCCTCTTCTTCCTCTTCTTCCTCTTCTCTCTTCCTCTTCTTCTTTCTTCTCTTCTTCCTCTTCTTCCTCTTCTTCCTCTTCTTCTTCCTCTTCTTCTCCTCCTCTTCTTCCTCCTCCTCCTCTTCCTCCTCCTCCTCCTCTTCCTCTTCTTCTTGCAGGTCACTGCTCATGCACAGATTTTTTTTATCGGTAAAAAGATCGGCCGATTTGCCCATAATTGCCACGAAAATTGGCCGATCAGCAAGATCGGCCGATTTTTTTTCCCAACTTTACCGATAAAAAAAAATCTGCCAAAATACCGAAAAACGGCTGAACAATTAGCCCACTAACAATCCGAAAATCGGCCGATTTTATTTTCGGCCGAAAAATCGGCCGATTTTCGACCCATCTATGGGCTGCATAAGACGCAGAGGCATTTAAAGGTGAAGGAAAAATAAACAAACGCCAGACACCCCTAAGAGCAGCTTCAAAAACATCCAGTGTGCATGAGGCTTTACTAGCCTAACATTAACAATTAGATCTTGGTAGGACTTGATCTTTCTTGATCTCTGCATTTACTTTAGCTACTATACCCATCATGCCTTATTGGTCTGTGACTAGAAGATGGAGTTACACAAAGGCCCCAGAGGCTTACAGGCAAGTTCTGACATGAGCTGCTCATAGCTGGAACCTCGCTCAATCGCCTGTTTTACTTTTATGTAGCATGTAAAATCATCCCTTCAAGTCACCATTTGTAATATTTATAGACATTTCTCACCATGCTGGATTACCAATATGTACCTCTGGTGTGTACCTTTTTTAGTTTTGAAGATTAACTTCAAGCACACTGCTAAATATGTAGATGAAAAGTATATATGAGAACCATTATACCTGCCTGGAGATTTCTATTTCTGTTCATCCAGTCCTGGGATTTTTTCAGGACAGTCCATGAGACATAGAGCACCTCCCACCAGACAGGAAACACGTTGTTGTTAAAGAGTTAATGGCCCTCTACTTCAGTTTTAGTGTTTCCTCCTGGAAAGAGGAGATATGTTGTGGGAACCGTTGGCTTTAGCTTGTTTTATAGGCTGCTTGTCTCTTATGGTGTGGTGCCCCCCCCCTTCACAAATCCCCTCTTTGAGTAGGTGCAATTGTGGGGTTCTCTGTTTTTGATACCTGGTGATGGTCTGTACTTATAATATGCTTCCCTGTTGCTAGCTGCCCTCCAGGATGTCGCTGTGCTGTATGTTCTCTGACGGGTATTGCAGTCTATCTCATGGGGGAGCCGAGCTTCTGTGTTCCATGCTAGTTGGCCGGAAAACGCAGTGGCACCTCTCCAGGCGAGGTGGCATCAACATGACGCACTGGAGGCTGTGGTTCTGGATCTCACATGCGACACTGGCAGAGAAGAGCATTTTTTGTATCTAGTGTTTTGCAGCAAGCGCTCCTAACAAAGGCTGTGGTTGCGCCATGTTGTTGCTATGGATCCTTCTGCTCCTCTGGCTTTAGCGGATGTAGGCTTTTCTGGCACCAGCTCTTCACAGGAAATCCTGAGGTGGTTTATTGCCTGCTTACTTTACACTATTGTTCTGTATGGCGGTCATCTGGGGCTTCTTGGTGTTGGCCTTAGGATGACTATATACTGTGGCTGATGGTTGGAGCACTGTGGGTGTTGGGCTGTTAAGGGCACTTTGTTCTGCTTGCTTTTTCTATGTTGTGTTCTGCAGACCAAGGCCCTGGATAGAGGTGCAGGAGGTTTTCGAAAGGAGTCCAATTTTTTTTTTTTTTTTTTTTTTTTTTTTCAGGCAACTTCTCCAATCAGTGTTCTATGGTTAATCTTATTTAGAAGGATGCACATACCTTCATGTTCCTATCGATCTGGCTGCTCGAGTTTCTACATTTAGTGGCAGAGATGGGCCAGAGGTTTCATCACTTTCAGTACAGAGTCCTCCCCTTCAGACTTCCCTTGGCTGCAAAGATTTTTACAAAGATCTTAGGGGAAGCCTTAGCCCCTCCTAAGGCTAAAAGCCTTTTCAATAGTCTCTTACCTCAGCGATTTCCTGCCCATCGCTCCCACACAGGACCAGTTGAAGTGGAATCTTCAGTTCACGCAAGAATGGCTGCGACATTAGGTTGGGTTATCAATCTAGAAAATTCAAACCATATCACATCTCAGATGGCAAGATTTCTGGGCTACACCCTAAGTTTCAGGGGGAAAAAAATGTTTTTTTTTTCTTCTGGAAGAAAAAAAATCTAAAAGTTGAATTTCTACCAGATGATCTTAGCAGTGTCTGTAAGGGACATTATGGTGGCAGTGGGCCTAATGATGGTCTCCATTCCAGTAGTGCATTGGGAAGGACTGCATCAGAGACTTCTACAATTATTTTTCTTTTGATGTTCTGAGATGGTTTCAAAGAGACTCTAGACATTCTAATCAGGGTTCATGCAAGAATAAAACAAACTCTGTGGTGATGCAGGACCCCCATTCATCTGACAGAGGAAGTTACATGAACTTGACCAGTTTCACAAAGAATTGCCACAGATGCAAGCTGTTGGGGCTGGTAAGCTCATCTGGAGGGTCAAATAGCTCAAGTTCAGTGGTCCTAGAGCAAAGCCAGAGTCTTCAAATTGGAGAGAATTGAGTGCAGTTGATTGAGTCCTGTGAGTTTTTGAGAAGGTAATGAAAGAACATCACGTCCAGTGGAGCATAAGGAGTCCCAGTTTGATGAGGGTGACAGAAGGATTCTTGTCCTGGGCAGAGGAGAACCTAGCCTCTATTTTGTTGAAGCACCTGAAGAGGGCTCAAGGTCATCGCCAGGTGAGGCAGGTCGAATGTTCCCTCAATCCAGAGGTATTTGCATCTCTGCCAGTCCTCTGACGACATTCTTGCCTAGGCAAGAATGACATCGCCTCTGCTTCTGAAGCATCCTGGGATATACATATGTCACATATCTGAGGAGGCATCCGCTTCAGTACGAAGGCGGTGCTTCATCAGAAACTGGCTGCCTGAACCAGGAAAAGTCAGCTGGCTTCCAAAGACATTGGAACAAAAGATGGACTGGATCCAGTTTGCAGCATGGAGTGGTGGATCACAGCGGACCAACGCTGGATTTGCAGGGCACGCAAGTGTGGTTTCTTTTTTTAAAGATAACCCAGCCTAAGGCCCCATGTACACGGGACACTTCTGAACGATGAAAACTGACTGCTGGAAAACTTAGGATAAAATAAGGTCTGTTTAGCCGCATTTGCATGACACGTTTATGCGTGTTTTGCGTATTAGAAATGTTTTTTAAAGATAAGCACAGGAGAACCTCCCAAATGCCCAGAATGCACTGAAAAGTGGTAAATTATTAACTATTTCCGACTGTTTCAGAGAAATACAGAGAGTAGAAGCAGAGACAGCAGTACGTGTTGAGATTAGCTTAGGTGTGAGTTGCTCAATAACACTTCTTTTGTTTCCAAGGGTGGGAAAGGTGTCTGGTGGAGGAGTCATTAAGGTCACCTGGCAGGGGGTCTTCATGAGGAATTTGAGATGTGAATGGTCATTAACATATCTTTTGTTTCCAAGGGTGGGAGAGGTCTGAGTGGGAATTGGTCATTACAATGTGTGACAAGCTTGCTAGGAACATCCTGTGTTCAGTGTTTTGTCCATCTGAGTACCTTGAAAACACTTTGCATGCATTTTTCATGATGGGAAAAAAGGCTCTGGACTGCATCTGGAACTGGAAGAGTTAAAAAAAAAAAAAAAAAAAAAAAAAAAAATTTCAAATGCTTATAAACGTGATTTGCCGCATTTTTTTATGGTTTTGCTGTAGGCCACATCCAATTACCTTGCTAATCATATTTTTCCTATATGCACATGACTGCTAGAGGTAGCACGCAATCTGCTGTATCTGTATATGAAAAAGGGTAATCAAAATATAGAACAGTTACATATAAATATGTGAAAGGCACAACAAAGATTACTTTTAGGCAAGAGTTTAGATTAAAAAATATTTTGCCAAAACCTAGTTTGCAGTAAAAGGTTATTTGTGTTTGTCTTTCCTCCAGACTACTGCAGAAGAAAACAGACTGTGTTCTGAGTCTCTGGGGGTCATCTCTGTGCTAGCAGATATGTCTTAACATCTTTGTAACATTTTGCATAATGTTGCTCTGTGGCCTACAATGGTCGGAGTACAGAACCGTTCTATATATACTTTTTGCCATATGATTTATCGCTGTGTATAATTACAAGAACTGTGTTTATGTTGTAGGCACCATGAATCAGACGCAGCAATCAGAAGAAGAGGTTCCTGCTTATCTTCGGGAGGAGGCACCAGAGGGTAATTGCAATTCTTACTCTTAGGGATTATCCTTTTTCCCTTTTGGCCTGTGTTATGATGGGACTAAAATGATGTGCAGTTTCGCAAGTTTCCTTTGTGGGTTGGGGGAGTGTACACTGTACAGTTGGTGTTAAGAAGTGTGAATCAGGAGGATGCTTTCTATAGAGTTTAAAGGTTAAGTTCACCTTAGTAACATGTTACATGTAAAAACCTATATTCAGGGTGTAACGTGTTAATAATGCAGCAGCCACACAATGAAATCAAATGTTCTCTATGTGTCCTGTTCACACCACAACACTGGTATCACGTGCAGATTGTTTCTGCGCAGGAATCTGCAACGTGTATAAAATCATTGGAGCATGCTTGAAAACTGATGTAAATTGATTTCTCTGCAAATTGATTTCTCTGCAAATGAAATCTGTGCATCAGTTTCTATCAGTTTTTTAGCATATATGGTGTAAACGAGCCCTAACTGTCTGCCGGTGCAGGAGGTATGGGTAGATCTGTACTGAAAGTTTAACTTTGCACCTGCAACCTACTGATTGGGGGTACAATGCTCTGTAGGTGGCTAAAAAAAATACATGCACATTTTTTTTACCTGCAAAAAATACACATTTATTTTTAAGTGAACTAATCATTTTAAAGTGTATGTCATAGCAACTTTTTTTAATATATGTGAGAGGTTAGCATGCCTGTCATATTTTCAGGTGATGTTTTTAAGTTCTTGGAAATCCAATCTAGAGGTGAGGGTAAATCCTTCAATGGAGACATCTGTTCTGTTGATAATAGTATAGGACCACAATGCACTGTTTAATTGGGCAACTATGTGGCAAATGAGGTAAAATGTTGATAAATGTAAGGTTCTGCACTTGGGGGCTAAGAATATGCATGCATCATACATACTAGGGGGTACAACTGGGGGAATCAATGGTGGAGAAGGATCTGGGAGTTCTGGTAGATCACAAGCTTAATAATGGCATGCAATGCCAAGCTGCGGTTTCTAAAGCGAGCAAAATCCTCTCTCTTGTATTAAAAGAGGTATAGACTCCAGAGAGAGAGATATCATATTACCCCCCCCGTACAAATCATTAGTAAGACCTCATCTGGAATATGCAGTTCAGTTTTGGGCACCAATTCACAACAAGAACATTGGGGAACTGGAGAAAGTACAGAGAAGGGCAACCAAACTGATAAGAGGCATGGAGGAGCTCAGCTATGAGGAAAGATTAGAGGAACTGAATTTATTCTCTCTTGAGAAGAGGAGATTAAGGGGGGATATGATCTCCATGTATAAATACATCAGTGGTTCATATAGTGAACTCGGTGTAGAGCTATTCACCCTGAGGTCATCACAGAGGACAAGGGAGCACTCTTTTTACGTCTGGAGGAAAAGAAATTTAATCTCCAAACACTGAAAGGTTTCTTCACAGTGAGAGCTGTGAAAATGTGGAATAGACTCCCTCAACAGTTGGTTCTGGCCAGCTCCGTGAATTGCTTTAAAGTCCTGGATTCTTTCTTGGATACACAGAATATAACTGGATATAACATTTTATAGGTAAAATTGATCCAGGGAATATCCGATTGCCTCTCGGGGGATCAGGAAAGAATTTTTTTCCCAGCAGGAGCAAATTGGATCATGCTTTGCTGGGTTTTTTCTTTTTTTGCCTTCCTCTGGATTAACTGTGGGTGTAGGATTATAACCTTTTTTTTTTTTCCCTATGGTTGAACTGGATGGACTTTTTTTGTCTTTTTTTCAGCCAGACTAACTATGTAAGGAGGGAAATTACACTTTGGCACGATTTCTTGTTGCGTCTTCAGCATAGAAGTTGAAGTTCCCAAGCGGGACACAGATGGCAAAAAAAAAGCCAACTGGGTTTTTCATCCCTCCCTACTCTATCTAAAATAAAATTTAAAAAAAAGAGGCGTTGGTTGTAGATACTGTCAGTCATAAATCCAGCTGTTTTGCAAACCAGCACCAGATCTCAACTTGGCTGAATGAAGTCCAGCGTCATCAGCCCACTTCCTGTGAGTCCTGGGTGTCAAGCACCACTTCAGTCTTGCCGTGTTCTGTAATAATTTAGGGGCCAGCAGATTCTAAATTCAAAGGAAGTGGGAGGAAATTTCTCCAAAGGGAACAGTAATCTCTTCTTGGATGTCACTGGAACAGGTGTCCCCTCATCTCCTGTTTTGGGGAGGAGGGAGGAATGGGCATTTATTTTATCACCTGGGCCTGCACAGCCTTGCACCCTCAATCACAGGGTTGCAGGTGCAATGTCAAGCTCCTGCAGACACTTCCTCCAGCTTTTTGCCCGTACTTCTGTATGGGCTTTCAGTTAGAAGGGTCAGTGGACTACAAATCCATCTGTTGTGGTGCTTTTAAATGTGACTATGGCTGTGGGGAGAGGAACCCCTGCAGACTCACGAGAGGGAGGGGGGACTCTAGGTTGGGGGGGATGGTGCTTAGGAACTTGTTACATGTTACACCTTAAATACAGGTGGACTTTGTGTTTTTAATTCTGGATTCCCATCGCTTTGTCCCAATGACAATGGTTTCCAGAAGAAAGAGAGGGTGAATTTCCCCAGCAGGACACAGCAACCTGATACTTTGTGGCATATGTATACAGCAGTGAATGTGACATTCACCACACAATTGCTGGTTGTGTTTTTTTAATTTACAATGATTAATCCACCAACACCTAGGAGATTCACCTGCAGTGAATGTTTGGGAAATGTCAGCCTGACTGCTGTATGTATATATTTGTCCCATTTCCTGCCAGAGGAACACAAAAAAAAAGAAAAATTGGCTCTTTAGGTGCATAGTAAATGTACTTATTTTTGCAGAATTTGACATTTTAGTTGGAGTGTTGGGGACAGTTGCTGCTGGTCGATTGCTGGATCTCACCCCTTGTACACTCCGATGGTTAGGCAGTTTGACAGACAGATCTTACTGCTTCAGTAACAGCCAGCTCCCTTATTTCTCTTCTGTCCGGTTCCTTTTAAGTCTGTATGGTGGGATGATAAAGCTTTTGCCATCAGGGAATCTTATGACTGCGTGTCTGACCCGGTGTCACAAGTCTGGAAGATGAATTTAGTCTGTGTTTACATTATTTTTCTGTTGACCAGTTTGTGGCATGAGACCATATCATATCAGGTGTGATGGCAATGGTGATGACAGAGCTATTCTGGGTGCTGGAATGTACTGTCTGCCGCTGTGACATTGTGAGCCTTCAACCTATTCACTGTTCCATCGTTCACCTCAGAATGGTTCACTTAGAAAATGGCTATTTACTCTCTGTTTTGCATATTTGACGTTAAATTCCTTTGCACTTTTTAAATTCTGTAAGTTCTGTCCCTAGCAGTCGGGCTGAAGGTTGGAATTTGCCACATGTTATGATTGCAAAGTTTATGGTAGAATTGAATTAGGATGTTATATAACTATAGAGGTGTGTGTGTGTGTGTGTGTGTGTGTGTGTGTGTGTGTGTGTGTGTGTGTGTGTGTGTGTGTGTGTGGGTGTGTGTTTGGGGGGGGGGACTCGCATAAGATCTAATACATTAAAAAAATATGAGATTGTATAAAACATTGATTGCATAATATCAACAGGGATACAGACCCAGGAAATTAGAACAGGGATAGTGGCAACTCCTCATAAAGGGCACAGCAGGTGTACAGATCTGGGACCTTGGCTGCTGAGGGGGGGGGGGGGGTGTTTATGCTGCAGTACATATCTCACTGGGAATGCTGGGGAGTATGGTGTGTTGCAGTTCAGATCTCACAAATGACAAGGGTAATGGGGATTAAGGTGTTGCAACGCTCTACCATGGAAAAAAAAAAGTAGTGTATGGAAAAAAAAAACGGTCATCAGTTCTATCTGCTTCCTACTCTATCTAGAACTGAACTGAAAAGTCTGCACTCCTGGGCTGCCCAATGTCTAAAAGTGACTTGCCTAGTTTGGTGGATGAATACATACAGGGATAAAACAGTGTGCATAACATACCTGGTAATTGCACGGTCATGCAACGCTGTAACTGAATAAATATATATATTTTATCTCACCACTGGGTTTTTTTATTTTTTTGCAATATAAACAAAAAGACTTGCCGTTTTGGGAAAGAAATTTTTTTTTTTGTTTTCTACTTTCTGCTACAAAGTATATCCAATTTAAAATAAAAAAAACAAATACAATTTTTTAAGTTTTGGCCAAAATGTACTCTGCTACATATCTTTGATTAAAAAAACAAAAACAAAAAAAAGTCCCAGTAAGTGTATATTGATTGGTTTGCATGAAAGGTATGGCACTACAAACTGTGTGTGTGTGTGTATGTGTATATATATATATATATCAATTTTATTTACGTTGCTAATGCCGGTGATCTGCCACGTTATAAGGTACACAAAGATCGTTCTCTCTGCACAGAGCTGTGTGTTTATTTTCAACACAGAGCTCTGGCCTGTGATTGTACACAGCTGATCAGCAGGTCCTGGCCGTGATTCATTGGCCAGGACTTGCTGATAGGCTCCCACTGTGTATACTCATAGCATGTGCCAGCCGGGGAGGGGGGGCACACATGCATTTGCCTAAAACCCAGAAGTAGGCAGCAACATCCGGGTATGTCACTTTGCCTACAGCCGCCTGTCCGCAGTACATTGTGGACAGGCGGTTAAAGGGTTAAAGTGTGCTAATACAGGTACTCTGAGCACTTTAATGTGATAGTTTGTATAGATATTGTCATGAATACATTTTTTTTTTTTTTTTTTCGAGATGGTATTGTCCATACATCTACCTCCATACATCTCAATAATGAAAGCCGTTCTCTGGCAGTTGGTGGCTGGTGACACAGACCTTTCTTTCACACGTTCTCCATATCGCAGCTCAGTGCAGTCAGCAGTGCCGAGTTTGCTTCATTGATGTGACAGGTGAAGACCTACTTTGAGGGAGGCTGGGGTTTGCCACAGATGTTGGGCTAGGCAGAGAGGAGAGGTGAGAACTGCAGAGGAAGAACGTATTTTGCTGTTTGAGCTCGTGGTGAAAAACGGGCTGCATGAGGGTGTCAGAATAAAAGGACCACATGTCATACGACGTCATGGCAAATGCCTTTCAAGGAGTCCGCTTCCCATTCTTACATAATTGGAAAGTGAAATTCATGTTTCAGACATTTTTCCATCTGTTACATATGTACTGTTTCCTGGTCCTGCCCATTTTTGCACATTACTGCTAAGCCTGGTTGGCTTATAAACACAGAGACCTATACCTGTGTATATTGTGGTTGTAGATGAACACAGTAACATTTAGATCAGCATTGGTCATGCACAGTGCAGCTCACAGCAGGATACACGCAGTACATAGAGGGAAATCAGAAGACCATTTTTATATTAAACTTTAAAGAGACCATTAATTTACACAAAAATTCTCCAGTAAGATTATTTGTGCAACTTGACCCTAATGTATCCATGTTAGGTACTTGTAATATACCTCTGTATATGAACATCCAACAGCCCCAAGGATCCTGCTGGGCGCCACCATCTTGGATGTGATGTCAGTAGACTCCGAGCTGTTGTTAAATGACACTCCATAGTTTTTTCTCTTCGCTCTTCCCGCTGACCGCTACATATAAAGCTATATGGGGTAAAGGGAGGGACTATGATGTGCAAGGAAGGAGCTGTGTGCTATGGAACTGACTCTTCCTGGAGTAGTCAGATTTTATGGTAAGTTCAAAATCACATTGCAAGCGAATACAATGGAGCATTTATGGAAAGTGCTGCCAGTAAGCTTTTTAAATGCATTATTTTTTTTTTGTACTTTTACTTGCAATTTTAGATAGTTGTAAAGGCAGAATGTTTTTGTTTTTTTTGTTTTTTTCTACCAGAATGCATTTTCTGCATTTAAAGTAAAAAAAAAAAACAACCTGTGTTCTGCTTCCCCTTCCAGCCCCCTGTATAATTACATGAGCCCAATCTCCATCCAGCGATGTGCCTGAGAGCAGTGGCTCTCTTTCCTTATTTGACATGGAGGCAATGGCAGGAGTCATAGGCTTCTGCTGGTGTCTCTTACAGTCAGGGCTGCTCTGTGCAAGAATATTGCACACAGCAGGTAAGTATTACAATCATGTTAGGTTGGTGCTCCAATTCCTTGAACCAAACATGCTGCTCTTTCTTCTTTGGACTCGGCACACACCACTATAAAAGTCTATTTGGTGCTACTGGGCAGACACATTCAGCACACTGAACAAACCCATCTAACTGTTTTGTTTACTGTTTACAAGGGTTAGAATCTTGTTTCAGAATTGTTTTTTTATAGTAGTACAATGATGAATTTCGCCAAGTGGTTTCTCCACTCGAAGTATCACTTTAGTTTCCAGTCCTTACACCAGGTGGTTGCCCATTTTTGCTTTGTGCACAATAATAAAAGTCGCATGTCTGTCCCAAAATGCTATCCTAGCCTTCCAGGATGGGAGCCAGATTGTCTCGGCACTCCATAACATTTACCCTCCTGTTTTCCAATTGCTTTTGCTAGAACTCCATAAAACTGCAAACTATCACTCACCTTAAATCAGGGTGGATTTGATTTAAATCAAACTGATTTAAATCACTAGTCAGTAAGGCTTGATTTAAATCCTAGTTTTCTACATAGACTAATTCTTGCTGGTATAACTTGAATATGCAAGTAGATGAAGATTTTTAGAATAACAACTTTTCATATTAGTTTTTTTTATCCCCAGTTTAATAGGTAATCATTCATATTTGGACAACTTTTCTGTTGTACTTAGGAAGGAGAAAAATAATCATTACCTTAATAATAATTTAAATAGATTTATTCAACTGAAACAATAACATTCCAGCATATGTGATTTGCTTAAACATCCATGTTTGTTAACTAATTTGGCTAAACAAAATATATATATTTTTAAGAGACTTAGACTGTCAGCCCCTTCCTCCTCACACTTCGTTTCACTTTCTTCTTGTGCAGATCTATTCCACTTCAAACAATCAGAAAAATATTGTTTCTATTCTATTCACTGAACTTCTTGAAACTTAGCACTGAAGGGGTTGATTCTGTATTCATAGGTTTGTAGAAGTTAGGATTAAGGTCTTTTTCTTAACTCTGTTCATGTTATAACATTTTTGCTGTGAAGAAGAGGCATGTGATATCTGCTGAGTCAAATTCAGTTTTGAGAACTGCAAAAGTAAACCGAGCATCTGTGATAATATCTTGTAGGCAGAGAAACTGCCCAATAATCTTACAAATACCTCTGGAAGAGCATGACATTGTGAATGGATTCATGGAATTTATTTACCAAAAAAATTAAACATATACAACCTTATTCTACATAATTAAAAAACTAATCTTTATTTCATGATGGAATAACCTTTGGATGGTAATATATTTTCCTCAAAAAGCATTTTATTCAAAACAATTTTTTTTTTTTTTTTTTTTTTTTTAGCTTGATTATCCTTAATAAACATACTCGCACCTAGTGAATCCTACACTCTGCTATTGCACACCTGGTCCTATGGCACCATTTTTCTTTTGCTGGGTCATTGAAAAGCTGTCTGTCTCTTCTTGGACTTAGCAGCCGGGCTTGATGTTTGCCTCAGCTCGTGTTCATGTGATGTAGATCACCCTAAACACTTCCGGGACCCATGAAGGGGGGAGGGGTCGTGGCACTATTGTCAAACAGATTGAAGATCAGACTTGGGGATCAGTGGATACATGCTTTTTCTTTACTTGGCTTTTATCCTTGTTGAGTCCTTGGTCATTTGCAGGGGGTACCTTCGTCTAGCAATATAGAAAGAGAGTCGCACCTGAAATCGCAGAAAATAGTGCAGGAACTACTTTCAAAATCTGTGCAACTCTGATAGTCAGTCACACTGGTTTGAACGGTTTGATTGTTATATTGTTTTGGGTTTGGTATACTTGCCTACTGCAAGCTGCTTGTTTTTTCTTTTTCTTTAGCGCTGACCTTTTTACTATACTAGTAGTTTAAAGTGACTGTGTCATGAGTATTATGGCTACTGCTATTGCAAGCCTCCTGAAGATGCCGGATGTCTGACTTCTGATTAAATAAAAACCCTCAGTGCTACTTTACCCAATACTTGTTTTGTGTCTGCAAATTGGATAACATTTAAAGTCAAAGCATCAGAATAACAGCCAAGGAATTGGCTTTCTCAAAAAAAAAAAAGGCAGCAGTGATAGCCACCATTGAATATTCATGGCAGATTCTCCTAAATCTGGCTTTAGCCAGGTGTTTAAAAAAAAAAAAAAAAAAAAAAAATCTCTCAGTTGAGCAGAAGAGAAATCAGACTAGTACATGCTAATAACATTTTCTGAATTTCTTCCAGATTCCGTCAAGGACCACCCCTCAGCAACAACCTGGCATGATCTCTCGTGTAACGGGGGGCATCTTCAGCATCACCAAAGGAGCGGTTGGTGCTACCATCGGTGGAGTGGCCTGGATCGGAGGCAAAAGCTATGAGGTGACCAAAACGGCAGTCACATCAGTACCTAGTATAGGAGTCGGCATTGTGAAAGGCAGCGTGTCAGCGGTCACTGGTGGTGTGGCTGCCGTGGGATCAGCAGTCTCCAGTAAAGTCTCTGGAAAAAAGAAGGACAAATCTGACTGAGCCAATCATCTTATTTCTAGAGGACTGTCCCAGCTGCGATTTGGTGTCTACCGAAGAGTCAAGCCAACGCCACACCATGCCACATAAGACACTTGTTATTGTAGCACCGGTGTGGCTAATCGAGCAAGTGGAAAGGAACGCAGCAGTCGTAGTAGAGTAAACACGGACTATAACCCCGTTCACTGACTCTGCGTTTCAAATGTTACATTTATATTACACCAAATCATGTGTTTGTTTCGTTCACAAAAATGTTTTGAATATTTTTTTTTTCTGGAAACATTGACATTCACAAAGCCATTTGTTTAGAGGACTTTACGTTAGAATTTTTTTTTTTCCCTTTTGCGTGTGTTTTTTCTTCTGTTATGAAAAGTCACAGCACATAGTTGTGTTTTGTTATGGTTAGCTATTAGTATTTTTTATTTTTCTTTCATTTTGTGTTTGGCTAGGCCGATGGAGCAATACTATAAACGTATCAATCCAGTGCAATTGTATTGGTAGGTGGTGGAATAGATTTGCTATGGTAAAAACAGAGGAGAAGCTCTTATATGAGTCCTCTGTGTTCATGTCCAAGAATTTCAAACGCTGTTTCCCCTCATGTGTTTGTTTCACAAGTAATATGTTGTGCTAGATCAGTGCCAGTGTTCTACGTATCTCTCCATTATTGGCTTGCATCACATCTGCGGAGTAAGTCTTTCAATGGGACGTGTTGGGATGAATGCGGGAGCTCTGTCAGTGACTCACTAAGCAAGGATCAGAATGACAGCCTTACCATTTCCCCCTACAAATAGGAATCATCATTGGCAGCTTAGATATTTTTTTTTTTTTTCTCGACAATCTCTCACCTTTCAATTAGTAACTGTTTAAAGACAAAACCTGTGTTAGACTATTCTAATGGCCACTACTTATCTGCTTACTTAAAGTGTATGCATTGCCAAACTATTTTTTTTTTTTCTGAAAAGCATATAGAAGGGTTAAAGAAGTTTAACCTTTTTTTTTGTTTTTACAGTATTCAGTTCCTGATGGGACATGTAGTACTTTGTCCCATCTTCCTAGGTACCTTGTAATACTAGCTGCTTTGTCAGACAGGGTGCCCCCCCCTTGACACACTGCCACGAGGAATGCAGGGGGAGGTAAAATGTGTCGGCTTCCCATCCCTCTGCAATTCTCAATGGAGGTGCTTGCCTCAAACAAGTGCTGGGCCATGTCTTTGTTAGCTGTAGTGTTGGGCAGCCGTGCTCTGGGAGGGGGGCGGGTTGCACTATCCAATATCACAACTAACAACAGGGCATCTAGAAAGATAGGAAAAAGTGTGCAATGCATTTTGTCATATTGGGAACTGTGTACTATAAACAAAAAAAAGATATGTTTTCTTAAAAACACTTGCAAGGTTATTTTTTGTTTTGTTTTTTGTTTTGTCCCACTAGGAAGATTTCCCTTCTTGTGCTGAAAACACAAGTGGGAGGAAAGCTCTGTTCAAGTGAGAAAAAAATTACCATCTTAGATCTGGTTCACTCCAATGCAGTGTGCATTTTGTGCGGTTTGCATGCATTTTGGGGTTTTTCGTTTGGTTTTTGTTAAAGGGGAAATTTTTGTTTGTTGCCGGGCAGAGTCAGAAATGCACTACTGCATTTCAGCAGAGTCTTCATCGACCTCTATTGTAGCAAAAATGCTGCTTTATTGCGTTTTTTTAAAAAAAAAAAAAAAGTCCCTGACCCTTTCCAAAAACGCAGCAACTCAAAAAAAGCATAGATGCGAATGTGTCCCATAAATGGACTGTAGTGCGTTTCTGCGAAAAAAGCACTAAAAAAAACGCATTGGTGTGAACCAGGCCTAAGTCACTTGTCACCAGAACATTTGTCCTCAGTGGAAGGTTTAACCTCTTGTTCTAACGACAACTCAAAAAAGGAAAAAAAGCTGGCTTTTTCATCACTTTGTCTCTGTAATGGTGGCCATTGGCACAAATAGAGGGGAAATTTAACCCTTCCTTACTCTATCCAAAAAAAAGTTTTGCTTTTACATACACTTTAAATGTTTGTATTTCTCCATCCAGCTAGTTTGTGTATCCTCCATGCTGAAACTTTTTAAGTGACATATTTCCCAGCCTTTAATGTGTGTCAAAGCCAGATGCCTGAATTTGGGTTGTAACTAAACCCTTTTCACCTTCTGGAATGCCATGATGCATTGTCAGCCAGGCAACAGTACTCTTCACCCCATTCCTCACTTTTCCAGTCTGTGTAGCCACTTCTATTTAAAATTTCAGCCAAAGAGCTGGGCAGGATATTCGCTTGATTAAAAGAAGCATTGCAAGTGAATACACATAGCATAGTTTGCTCAACACATTTATCATCTAGTGTATGTATAGCCAAAACGTTTATTTTTTATATTTTGGATGGAGTGGGGAAGGGTCAGAACCCCTGTCAGATTTTACTTCTACCCAGACCCCTGGAATCTTAGCCCTGGTTCACATTGCGGGCTGGCTGCAGGTGCAGGAATCTCATCTGTTCCCCCACCTGCTTCCAAATCACGCTGCTGCCATTTACTTTGAATAGCACCCCCACGAATCTCAGCCCGCAGTGCGTTTGTCGTAACCGTAGGGAAATTGCATGGTCAAAAAGACCATGCGATTTTTCTGTGTCTGCGTTAAAAAAAAAAAAAAAAAAAAAGACAAGACCAAACAGTGAATGCACCTTTTTAAAACGCAGACACAGCAGTCCATTCAAATGGACGGCCTGCACAAGTGTGGAAAAGGAAAAGATTTCCCCTCACATCTTTTCTGCTGCCAGTTGGTTCAACAGACGAGAAGCAAAAGAAATTCTTTACTAAAGAAAAGCATTTTTTTTTTCCGTGTTAGAGTAGGGGGGAGCTAGAACCCCTGTTGGATTTCATTTTTTGTCTGTGCCCTTGTTGCAGATTTTGCAGTTTGTTTTTTTTTTGTTTTTTTTACCCCACTTGTCTGAGTTTTACCTTAATTTATTGTTGGGATAAAATAGAAACCAAATAGATCTCAAGTCTGCTCCTTCATTTTCATGTTGTTAGTGCCTTATAGAAAACCCTCAGGTACACTGCACAAATGCTTATTACACTACCGTCTGCATTAAGTATAGCATGCTGTATAAAGATGTTTTTTTGTTTTTGATTATATTTAAAGGGTCAGTCCGACCAGGTAATTCAGTATGACAACAGGTGCGATCAACCAGCCATTTCCTTCTGTCCTCTGTGGGTAGGTTTTCTGTACCAGAAGTCTGACCTCTACCCAGCTATTGGAGCCATCAAGGTCCTATTTACACTTGATCAATCTGTTGCACTGGGTTAACATGCGGTGAGTTTAAGGTATCCCATTCATTTTGAATAGTTTGCCAACACACGTGACTTTTTGACAACCCAGCCAGCGAACTGCAGCACACCACAACCCACAGTTCTACTGTACAGTGCATTGCGGGACCAGTCCTGATGCTAATGCACTGCACAGAAGTCAGGTGTTGCCATACGTTGTGGTATTGCATGCATTATGGTGCACATTGCCACAATGCACTAGCTTGAATGGATGATTAGGAAAACCTATCCTGATATTGATACTGCTGTTGCCAACATTTCCTCCTAAAAATATTAGTTGCTAGGCTGACATGATGATCTAGTAGTCCTTGACCCAGAATAGCTATTAGTGTATGTCCAGCTAAAACTTATTTCATTTTTTTTTTTTTTTTTTGGGGGGGGGTTCGAATTTGAGTTTTACTGGCATTTGGGGCTCCATTAGAGCTCTTTCCCCTCATTTCCTCCCCCAGTGACTACAGGTTTCAACATACAGGGAGTGATGGGAAATCTCCAACTGCAAATAAAATTTAAAGAAAACAAACTTTTGGCTGGACATATTCTTTAAGTGTTTTCAATGCATGCTTCTTTTCAATGCATGTCGTAAAAGTAAAAAAAAAAATATCAGACAACTAATATTTTCAGAAGGAAGTTAACAATCGCAGGCTGTTTCTTTCCTGGAACCCTTTGGAGATGTAAAATTCAAATCAATGAAATGCACCCATATCTGAAATACCGGTTTCTGGAGGACCTATCCTTCCTTCATCTTCTACCTTTGGTCCTTGTATTGGTAAATGACTGACACTCCCACTGTTCTTGCTGAATTAGGTGCAGTGGAACAGACTTGGTGCAAATGTTTTTTTTTTTTTTTTTTTTTTTTCTCTCCTTTTTGAAGGTCCTGAAAGTGGTAGTGGCCATATTTTTATACATTGCAAGATGCTTATTTTCTATATATAATATATAGGGTATAATTATTTGCTGTGTTTACTAGGGCATGCTAAGCAGGGCCACTGTGCAAAATTGTGCTAAACTCAATGACTAGCTTTTATCTTCGGTCTCCCACCCTTTGTATTTTTAATATGCCTTTCAGATATGTACTGAAGTAGTCGCCCACTTGAACTGTGAATTGTGGTGAGGTAAAGAAATAAACTTTGTGCCTATATACATTTGTGTTGGGATGTTTGTAAGCTTTTCAAAAGGTATACACTGATTATTGAAAAACTGCCAAATTTCTGTTACCACACAGCACCATTTTAGTCTTCCATTTAAAGTGGGACTATGAAAGCTTGTACGACGGAGATACGTCGATTATTTTCGCTCATTGCACGTCTAGAATTGTCTCAGAAACATGTGGTAGACCTATCTAACACTGGTATAGACTTACTCCAAATTTTAGATTCTTCCTACCTTGTTGCACGAGACAAAGCACCCAACACTCATTACTCCCTAGCTAACAAATGTGGCCAACACCTGGCACGTGTACTTCACCATTGTCCGTCCCGTCGTCCAATCCAGCACATCAAGGCTCCTGGCAATACTAAACTCTACCACAATAAGGGAATCTGTTCTTCTTGAGCGTTATTAATCTCAATTTTATAATCTCTCTTCGGCTACTCCCTGATGCTCCTCCCGTTTCCTCCCTGCCGGCTATGTCCCAAAATATTGTGGAGATGGCATTACCTGTTCTAGAC